ATGATCAATTATAATTACTTCTTTAAATATTGTCATTCAGTTTTAATTCATGGGTTAATAGTCAGGGGGTTATAAGTAGGTGAGGCTAAAAATACAGCATATGTTTAAAGACAGTTTCCTACAGCGTCACTTGTCCTGATTTTCTCAGAGACTTGTTTGTTGCTCAAAGTGCTTTTTTGGTTAATGGAAAATCATGTGTTCATATTTCAGCGATGCTTGCTGGTACCTCTAGGGATCAGACACGTGGTTAAAGACACCGTCTGTTCTGAGAGGATCCTACTTGTGTTGGTATTGTAAGGAACAACTTCTCTCTTCTCTGGGCTTTTCTCAGGTGTAGTTTGCTGATACACAGTCATGCTGAAAGCGGGCGCCACGAAAGTGGGGCTGCCCAAGCCGGGACTCCAGGAGCGGGTGAGGCAGGCCTCCGTGACTTCATCTTCCTCCACTACCACCACCTCCACAGCCATGAAGACCTCCAGATCTTCCAACATGTTGGCCTCAGACCAGCGCCTCAGCAGAGTGAGTTACAAGCACACTATGATTACCCAGTGACTGACATGGTGATACGTTTACACTGAGTTTGAAGTTCTAAAGTGATTCAAATGAACTTACTTCAGAATAGCAGTGTTACTAACAGCAACTGTGTTTCTAGCTGAAAAGAGCCAGCAGTGATGATGCCTTGACAAAACCTGCACTGGGAGCTGCTGCCTCTGGCTCCCGCATGAAGAAGACAGTGACCACTGGAGCCATTTCAGATCTGGCTGAGGCTCGCCCTCGCAGCCTGTCGGGTAGGAAACAGATCACTCTAAATGGCAAATATTGCAGACCTCCTTAGATTCATATCTTTTGTCAGAGTCATTGAACTAACCACTTGCAGCCACTAGAGGGCCCCAGTACCTCACTAAAGCTGCTGCAGCTCCACGGTGCTGGTGCTGCCAGCGTGAGAGATGCTTCCTTCACTCTTTTTTTTCTGTGTCTCTTGTTTATTCTTGTTTCATTGGCACTGGTGAGGTGCAGGTGGCTAACGACTGAAGTTCTCAAGGTTTTGGTCCAAAACTGAAATACTGAGCGTATTCATAGTCTGCTCCTCAAACAACATCTGCTCAGGCGTGGGAACAGCAGGATATGCTTCGGATGACAAATGAGGAAAAAAGTGTTTTTCCATCCATGAAAGTGGCAATGTTTTTGGCTGGACTTATGACATTATTTGCTTTCGTCTTCTTCTTCATCTTTTTTTTTTTTTTTTTTTGAAAGCTTCTATAAAATGCCAATAGATGGTGATTTTGTTTAGTCCGACTTGAGGCCAACACTCACATTTATATAGTACACAATTATATATGGCATAGAAACTGAAATCAGGAATGTCTTAAAGTCTTGCTTGAAAATAACCCACAATTAACTGATTTTCAAAAGCTGCCAATTTATGCGCCGCGTGCATGATAAATTATCAGCCTAATTGTGTCAGCTATAATCTGACTATTGTTACACGATATAGAAACATACTTTTAAAATGTAATTCTCGTTTATCTGAATCTTGCACATCTCCCTGACTTTGTGGCTCTGTGAGCTAACTTTGCACCGACCACTTCCCTCCTAGAAATTCAGGGAAATGATACAGATGGCTTTTTTCTGTGTGTTTTGGTTCGACTCAGTGGCAAGATTTTGAAATGATTCTTGTAAAAATTGTATTTTTTGTACCAAGCTTGTGTTGCTTTCTCTGACATGCTGTTCTGCACCCTTCATTTAGCACAACCCAGGAATAACCACAATTATGAGAAATACAGCAGGTCAAACTGAACCGGACAGATTCCCTTGGACACTAAATGAGCCATTCTGGTTTCTACACAAGGTTACCACAGATAGTGTTTCCCAAGTATGGACTTCATTTTACAGTAATCAAGGGAAGATTAACATCTTGTGGATTATAGCCAACATGATGTAATTTTTAGGTTTGGCAAAACATTATTGGGACATTAATCTCAAGTGGTCTCTATCACATGTTTAGGCACATTTTGGACAATACCTCCATCATGCTGTGTCCATCCCATCCATATATGGTTCATATCGTCTGTGTTTGCTTTCCTAGTCACTAAAATACTATATATGAACAAAAGGTTGTTATGTCATGATGAACACTTCTCATAAGTATTTTTATTATCTGTTAACTTGTATGCTAGTATTGCTGCTAACTAAATAGTGCAACTACAAATCGACCTGATAGCAAAACATGTATTACATGAAGGACAAATATGGCGGTCGATAATGACAGGGATTTGTTTGCAGTAATTAATGTTGTTCACAGCACACCCTTGGAAAATCCTCTGTGTGGGAGATAGCTGTGTTTGTTTAGGGCGGCCCATCCACACAGTGTGTAGATGCTGCGCTCTGGTGAATTTCTTCTTCAAAGCGCTCTTGTGCTGAAGCGGAGATAATTGAATTCTACTTGACAAAAGACTCCAGAGGAGCTGAGAAACCACGGCCAAGTGAGGCTCTCTCGCTTGTTTCAGATACAATTAGACCATGATCAGCTTTCACTGGATTGGGTTCTAATTAACCAAAGTTTGTTATTTTAGAGTGTTTTCACACCCAAGGACAAGAACAGATTCCTACTTTGTACTAGTTATAATAAATTCATGACTCTTCACATACTAGATCTGGCCTAGTTTTGGACAAGCAAAGTTAAGGACAGGGAGATTTGTAATTCTTGGTCATGAAGATCAAATCATGTCATGAGTAGTTGGAGCTGTAATGCCACATACGCTGACCTTTTGTGCTGAGCTTGTTTTCCATCCTGGTCCCAGAGCTTCTGACCAGCCTCACTACAGAAACAAAATAATCCAAAAACACATAATCCTCTGCATTTTAGCTCTAAACAAAGTTAACCTACTTTGTTTCCTCTTATGTGCCGAAGTCCAAAGATATGATAATTTCACATCATTGAATATTTTTCATCTAAATAATTTAACTCAAATTACAGTAAACATCTCAATATTTCATAACACACACTTCTTCAGGAAATACACTCACATGTGTACTTACTGGCGTACTCTGACCTTGCATACAATTGTGTGACAGTCAGGACAGCAGTGGATGCTTTTGCTTTGTGATTCCCCTCAGGCTAGCTGTGTTGTTCTGCACCTGGGATGGGACTCTACTCGAGTGCACATCAAGACACATGAAGACAGACAATAAGTGGATATGTCAAACAGGTCTCCAAAAGCAAGCTAATCTTTTGTGTGGAAAATCAAATCTGACACCTGAAAAAGCCGTGACGCTTAACCATGCGTGCAAGCTATGGCAATAATCATTTAGCCTGCTGCTTTCAATACTAAGTCTGATTTGAGAGTTCTTCTGAAATATTCACACAGGGGAGATGGCATGATTTGAATATAGATTGGGGTGTTGCTCTCTGGTATTTTGAACTCTTTGAGATGTAATGCTCTGAAATGTCTTGGGTGTCCGTGTTTATTGATGTGGAAGGGAAGAAAAACATCTGTTAGAAGAAGATTTTGGGTGAGAAGAAGAGTGGGAAAAAAAAACAGAAATTGCACTATGACATTTTGGGATAAACATGCTGGCTGTGACACTGCAATGTGTCTTCAGGCTTGCCTGAGCGATATTGTCACCCATCAGGTTGGTCGTAAACAGACGAGCTTCTCCCCAGTGGATGTATGACATTATACGCTGACAAGAAGCTGTCAGGGCTTACTGGGCTCTAAGGTACACTGCAGCAGAACTGTCATCATACGCGTCAAGTGGTAATTGAGTCTCTTCTCAGAGGCCGTCCAAGTATATTTTGTGACTGTGGTTGTATGACAGAATCCTTGCTTAGTGGTGAAAAATGTAAGAAGTGTGAGAAACACGATTAAGCAATGCACCATCACTGTATGAAGCACCAGTAACCAGCAACCATTATTTTTAAATGTATCGCTTCCTTTCGAGCAAAGCATTGCTAATTGAATGCAGAAATAAGAACTGCATCAGATATTTTCTCAAGATTTGTCAGAATGGGGTCAGATGTGCCTGTGATATTGTACATTTTAAGATAATAAACAAACATGGTCTGATTCAAGTGCTAATGAGTGCAATATCTGAGGAGATGTCATGGGTTTTGTACAACAGTCAGTCATTACACTGATCTGTGGTGCCTTTATTCCATGGATGAAATCAACTCACTTTCGGAGCAAACTGATATTTTATTGTGATCTCTGAAAAGTGTATATATTTTTTTTTGTCTCTAATTCTAACTGGATATCAGCTATGCAGTTATGACCTTTGTAATGCAAATGAAAGATCTCAGCGTAGTCACTTCAAAACTGTAGCTATAAAAAACTCAATTCAAGCACTACATTTTTATGAAGGCTGTAAACCGTCGAGCAAAAATACTCGGAGTGAAATCTTCACAGGTTAATGGGCTGCACATACACTGACAGTATTGGCTCAAAAGCTCCCCTGGCTAACAGTCTGACCCCCGCCCTCGCCTGCCCTCACAGCATGCCGTACTAATGAGTCAAAACTGTTATTTTTGCTAATGGAGTCTTGTCCCTATCCCAGTTGGCACTTTACCAACTCTACCGTGCTGTCAGACAACGGGTTAAAACCCAGCCTCGTCCTGATGACTTATTTAAAACACCTCATCAATAATTCAGTAAAGCTTTCACTCAGAGAGGAGTCCCTGTGGAGTGTGCAAGGAGAAAGACAGAAGGAGATAAAACTGCCCCGTTCTATAAATAACAGGCCTGGTGGGGAAGACTGTGGGGCATAACTTTCTAAATGGGTGCTTCATTGATGGGTGCTCTCCGTCACCTCTGTTGGGTCGATGCTTTCACTCTGATCATATTGTACTATGAGGTGAACGAAAAATGTCCTTCAGTAAGTTGGTTGTTTGGTGGATCTACTTAAAGGAAAGCAGTACTGTCATAGTTTGTATTCAGATTGTTCTGCTTCAGTATTTATCCATCTCTACTAATACTGATGTGTTTCCAAGTTATGTGATGCTTAATGATTTATTCCACAGTTCCATCACTGAAAATACAATGAAAGTACAACAGAGTACAACAGTATGCGTTTCCAGATTCACCTGTAATGGCTGTCAGCTCTTTAGCACGACTTCACATTATATTTCAGGTTGTGTATGTTTTCTAGCATATAGTGTCACTTTTTGCCTTAAGTAAAAAGTTGACAACACTAAATTTAAAACCTCATGCACCTGCCACTTTTACTGTGTTTTTGCTGCAAGCTGTTATTCTCCTGACTGGCATGTGTCAACGTGATACTGTATCCGTCTAACTCAGTGGAAACTAGAATACTGACTTACATAAAGAGAGATTGTTTCACTGGTCTTCTTTGCTGAGGTTGTTGCTGTCATGATCACCACTAGTCAAGTGCATGCTGGATTCTGAATGTTGACTTTTGCTTGTCTGGTTTAATTGAACGGGAAATGCTGTAGGCTTTAGAGGAAACTTTATTTTTTACTGTGTCTTTTAAAGTTTTTCGAACATCCATAAACCAAAAACAGGAGGTTATTTTTGTTAACCTCCAGTCTCTGTTGTATGGACGGTCTGCTGTCAGTCAGTGATGGAATAGATGTTTGTCTGATTGTTTACCATAAAACCAGATAAACTATGACTTCCTCTTGTATCATTTGCTTATACCTCCAATGGACTGTTACAGATTTCTGTACGATGCCACTGAAGTGTAAGTAGATCTTAGTTAACAGTCAAGAAAAGAATAAGCACAGCAGGGAAACGACGCCGAGCTACAGATATTATGGACCCAGACTGTGTGTAAGTTTTGCTATACGCGACCCAGACACCAGACTCAGCCATAGCATGTGGTCCCAGCAGGGCCCTGTCTGTCTGTGTACGTCAGTGTTTGGGAAGCAGAAGGAGAGAGAGAGGTATAGTCCTTGAGCTCCTCATATCTGTCAGATAAATTAATCAAACGTGCCTCAGTCCACTGGGACACCTCAGCCTGCATAAGCACTCAGCCATGACGGACAGACAGCAGTAGAACGACGTACATGCTTGCACATGCAAATATACGTTAACAATATGCATGCAGAATTACCCACACCTTTCCTTCCTATGTCTTCCACAGTGCCCTGTCCACATCTAAATATTTTACACTGAATATATGATATGATGATGTACTGCTCTGTTTATTGTGCATGCAGTGTTATAAAGATTATGGTAAGCGTGAATAGCTTTACTCCTACTTACTACAGAGCTGGTTTGCTTCCAAGGCCAGAATTAACACTGTTTCTACATATCTGGCATCAGCGCAGACATAAACACACCTGGCCCTTTTTAGGTTTGTTGACCACAGTTTTGGCATGAAGTTTGAAATTCCTCTCTTGAGAAGCTTGTGAACCCAGTAAGTCCCTGAAAGACACAAGACAGAGAGAAATGGTCTTGCCAGATCTTGAAAGAGGCCTGTTGGGCCCACAGAGATGGGCGTCCTGTGGTGAGGAGAACATTCTTAGTTGGATTAGAGGCATGTTTGTTTACCAAGGTGGATGTGCTGCGCCAGGACGAAAGGAGGGGAGAATATTAAGAACGGAAGAGGAAACTGTACCAGCAGTTTATGCAACATTCATAAGAAGTGAAAAGGCTTGGGAACAGCCACATACAGTGTTGTATCACAGGACGGGATATTCAACCTGACGTGGGCAGAATCATGTGGCAAACTCAACCTTCCTTGCTGCTAGTAGAGAATTTTTTAAAAGCCTCTTCTGGCTGGCACTTAGAGTACATTATGAATCAAACACATGTTGTGGAAAAAATGCATCTACAGCTGTAAATGCTGATTTCTTTATTATTCTGCCTGTCATTTAATTTCACAGTTCTTTCAGCAGTGAACACAAAGGAAACAAACTGGCAGCTCTGAGGTTACGCAACAGAGATGCTCATCCTCCTAAAAATATCAGCGCTTATCTGTGTCACGTATGGCTTTAAAAAATGGGGATGCAGTTAAGATGAATTTTAATTTCTGATAAATACATTCATGCGTATTTGTGCCTTTGGCTGAGTGAAACTTCTTTTGGACGACGATCACACAGCATACTGTATCACAGGCATACAGCTGAACTGAAACAGTAGGATCTCGTTGGATGACTGTAAACTGAGGTTGGATTTAAAAAAAAAAAAAAAAGCACTATGACTGTCGCGTCCTTAAAGGTGCACATCACAAAACATCTATTTTAAAAAGTCAGCAGTTATTTTTTTAGGTCATTTCTTGTAACTGGACACATAAATAAATTTTAACTATCTTTTTAAAAATAGTTATGACAACAATTACCTCAGTGTTAAAGCGACTTTCATGATAATGTCTTGATCATGGTGCACACCTGCATAAAAATACCACAACATGATTACTGCGGACCCAAAATGGAGACCACTCCAACTGAAAAGTGATTTTTGCTTCCCAACTTTGTTCTTCTGTGCAGCTCCGGCTATCATAAATATTTAACACATGCATTCATTGTCAAAGAGAGAGGACAGACAAAAACAAGCTCTCCTCTCTGTAGCTCCACACAGTTCCACTAAAACTAGCACACCACCCCCCCATCTTTATGCACTCGTAGGCGCACCCACATACACACTCGTGCTGTTGTTTCCTGCTGTGTGCGCTGCAGTGAGAATGGTAGTGGAAGCCTGGGGTGGCCTCTTATCCCCAGATCAGCATCTCTTTTCCCCATTTATTAAGACTTTTATTGGAAAATTGCAGTTCTGCCTCTGCATGGGGGAGCAGGCATGGGAGACTGTACGAGAGATCTCACGCTACAAGTTCACTTGAAAAGAAAAGAGCTGCTCTGTCACCATCTGCCAAAAATACAAATGCTGCCTTTCCTTTGCTGCTGCTCCTCCTTCCTTCCTTCTTCCCGCCACCCTCCTCTCTCTCTCTCTCTCTCTCTCGCTCTCCCTTATACTTGTCCTTTCAGTAACATTCAGAGGGACGGATCATCTCACCATTGTTCAACTGGTATTGGTGAGAGTAAACTGGCTGGCAGCAGTGGGAGGAGGTGTGTTAATATGCGTGTGTGGCCCAGGAAGCCACTCCTCCTCTGAGCTGATTCCAGTCATCACAGCGATAATGAAGTGCACACAGCGCTGCCTGCTCGCCCGCTTGCCAGCGTGACATACTGTCACCGTCCTGGAGGACACGCACACTCGCACACACCTCACAGTCACTCGCTGACAGGACAGGCAGCCTGCCGCCTCACACATGCACACACACACACACACACTCGCACAGTCCTGGGAAGGAGTGGAGAAAAGAAAAGGAGACCAGAAGGAGGGAAGAATAAGAAGAATTTTACATCTCTTTGGCTTTCCTCTGTATGTGACTGACCAGCGGTGATTGTGGGTGCTGAACAGAGACAACAATCCCGCCTCTCACACACACACACACCTCTCCCCCCGCAGCCACGGATTCTTGGATTAGTCTGCCCCGGTGTGGAGTGTGGGAGTCGCGGAGCGGACCAACATGGGGAACCAGGCAGGGAGACAGGAGGAAACAGAGTCAGGTCTGCTTCTTGTGTTGTGGTTTGCCTCAGCATCATTTATTCTTCTTTGTCTGAGTCTGAATTTTTCTGTTGATGTGAAGAACAAAGACGTGAATTTTCTAAATACGAGCTAATCTCCTGTCATGTCTTGTCTGGGTTCATCGCTGACAGACAAGTCCTGACTAATGAGTATGACCAAGATGCACACAGACAAAGCATTTACTGAATATGCCCTGGAGCCTCAGGAGCTGTTTGAGCGGGTTAGAAGTTAGTTCTCTCCTCTGTTCTTCTGCTATTATTTATGTCAGCATGTCCACGCTTTTTGTGAGATTATGTGGTGTGTTGTGCTTCTGCATCCACTCCGTTTGTCTGTATGTGTAGCTATTGGGAATCTGGTGGGGGACAGTGCTGAGCGAGATTTGCCTGACAGTCAGCATGAGGGAACCTGCTAGAGGAGATGGTATCATCACTCTCATGCTCACATCCTTCTACTGCCCCGAGCTCACTGCGCCTCCGTAAGATTTCCATTTCAAAGTCCCTCTGAACTGCACTCCGCAGCAACTTCACGCTTATCTACAGACAACCAAGCTCTTCCACATCTTTGTAACCCCTTTCTGTAACAAAGCGAATATTTGCATCTTAATATATGTGTACTCGTGTATGTATGTAGAGCACACACATCACAGCTGTCACAACTGAATCCTTAACCCTGACCCTGACCTCGTCCTTATTCCAACCTAAGTTGTAACCCCTCAAACAGTCGTCTCTCCCCCTGGGTACCACGATGACACACGTCCCCATGGGTTAGTGTGTAGTCAAGTTAAAGTCCCCTCTGGGATATATGAACATGAAACACACGCACACACAAACATTCTCGTTTTATCAGTGGTGGGTGTTAAGCTGCATCATTTCATAGCGGTGGCGTGTGTTGCTTGAAGATAGAGCACAGTAGGCTCAGATTGGAAGGCAGTGGTAGCAAGCTGCTGCATGCTCACTAAGATTAGCTCCCAGTTTCTTCTCTGCACGCACACACACACACAAAACAAAGCATTGCTGAGTACTGAATTAAAAAGTTGGAACAAAGAAGGGGAATATTACCTTCTTTGATCTCACTAATTACCATCTATTTGCCAAACAAAATATAGCTGCTCGTTGATAAATGCTACTCTACATACAAAGTCATTATAAGATTGGTACTCCAAGGTACTGTATGGAGCTATGCGTGGCTAAAAATCTAATGAGTCAGAGTAGAATGTTTGCTGTATAATAAATCATGCCCTCCAGGCTATGAAAAGTCTTTAAAATCTCCTTGGTACAGTCCTCTATGGTCCTTGGTGCAGCGGCTCACATGAACCTCCATTATGAAATGAAACAGTCAGCTATATTGTTAATTGATTGACCTGTTTTTTTTTTTTTTTTTTCATAAATTCAACCTCCGCTTTCTCAAATGAGCTGCTATAGTAATGAGAATTGATCATCAAATGGCTGCATTTTTCATTATGCCCGCACATGACATTAAGCTATAGATCCAAGAGCGCTGATGCCAAAGACACACATAAGCCTTTCAGTCTATATTTTTACAAGGTAGTGATAAAGTAATGAGCATAAAGACTTTTAGCTGAAGCAGTAGTTTATTATCTGCTTTGCACTTATAAACAGCAGTATTGTGACGTACAAGACAGTGGACATGGACACAGTAAAGCTTCTGATCCTTCATTAGCTTCCGTTCCACCCAGACGATGAAACGGCCAGCTCAGGTTTGTCAGACTTTGGACTTGGAAAGTGGAATAACAATTCTGGTAGTAGGAAAAGAAACGTGGGAACAGGAGGAACTCTTTGGTATTTGATTGATGGTGTTATCTCTGAAGTGGAAGGCTAAGGAGTAAGCTGTCTGCTGCAGTGATAAGCAGGTCGTTATCAGAACCGAACTCCACTGACGGCTACTACAACGAGCCTTCCTGTCTCCCCACTGGCTCACCAGGAGAGCAGCCAAGACCAGAGCCTGTGGTCAGCATGTTGTCAGCTGTTGATGAATTGTCGGTAAAATATAGTCCAATAACAGCGGGTCTATTTTCAGGACTACAACTCAGTCAGTCAAACCCATTTGGGCTCAGGATTAAAAGAACGTTAGAACATGTTTGTGTAGTGAGGTAAAACAGATTGTCGTGACTTTCACATGGTCAAAAATGGGAAATATCAAACACTTGTGGTTCTTGCAGAAGTTTGACTGGGATGCTTGAGGGTAGCTGTAATGTTCAAGGATGCTGCCAAAAACTTGGAAAAACAATGTTTTTTAAAAGTAGGGGATGGGGCTAATATCAGTGTAACATTTAGCATGTTGTCATTAGAATAACATTGTTCTTTCTCTCCACGTATTGGTAAAACAGTAACATTAAGTTTGTTATGGGTTTTGGAGTGAGCTCAGACATAAAGTTCCACGATGCAGACATCCCACACCATATGTCCCAAACACTGCCATTTCTCTAACATTTAATACTTTCCTCACCTCAATGTAGGACTACTGATACCTGCCTATGTATATATCTATATATCTAGATTGATGGAAGGAGTTTGTTTCAACTCATTTCCAGTCTTGGCCAGCTGACACACGAAGCTGTATTTTCAAGTTGGATTAATACTCTGCATGACTCATGCTTGGTGTACTCGATGCCATTTTCAGGGCCCATCTGTTCAAAAAGTTTGATCTGGATTTGGAAATACTATATTTAGCTATCCAGGATTAGGTAATTCATTTTACTTTTGAGCCAGTTTTTCAAAGCAGCAATTTAAGACAACCAGATTGGGACCACCCGTGCTCGAAACAGAAGTAAATATCACCATGAAGGCTACTAGCTATGAAAAAACAAATGGATAAATAGTCAGCATTGGGTCACGCTAAGTGTTTTAATGCTTACATTTCCATTTTTTTTAAATAGTCAGAGCCCTCGTCTGACTCACTTTTTTGGAATCTACCCAAAATCCATCCTGCTAAGATCAGGATAATCCTTTTTAAAATGTATTTATTTTATTACAAGTATCCCAATTCTTCTGAAAAAGTTTTGAACTGCACATACTGAAGGCTTGATCCAAATAAAAAGCAATACTGGATTAAAGGATCTGGTCCAAGTTTCTTTTTTCCCCCTTTTGAATAATCTATTTTAAAGATTTGATCAAATCTGCTCGTCAAAATCTGATTAGATTGCTTCTAAACTATATTTTCCTTGTTTCATACATAAACCTCGCTCTGCTTTGCCTCTTCTCAGACATTCAGTGACATCTGCCTTCCTCTTTCCCTCAAGCATTGGGATAGTTTTGCTTATTGACATTGTTTTAGCAGCCAAAAATACAGACAGATGAGGTCCCAAGACCACCCCCTGAGTAGCCTCAGCTGATATCTTCAGACTCACAGTAAATGCCTATCTGTGTCGCCGACTCATTGTACTGGGTGGGTATTTCTCCCAGACTTCCACACTACCATGAGCAGCAGACCAAAGAATGTGGAACACCGTGCCATTTCAATACCATATCAGAGCAAATTGACAAAGAGCAGGAATTCAACATGAGGAAGCAAGTTTGTCCAACTTCTGATAGCCGGGACACTGTGAGGAAGTTGCATCAGTCATACTTTCCATGGCAGTTAGCAGTTGGTACAGTAAATACACCAGCCATTCCACTGTGCGGTGTGTTTGCAAAGGTGTGTGCTGTGTAAATGTCCTGTTTTTGTAACCGAGAGTACAGCTTGTGCATCAAAGTTGGTACATTATAGCCTTCATGCCTCAGCTCATAAAAATCACTTATTTATGGTGGAGAAACTAACAATGCATGTATGAAAAAACAAAAAGCACAGCCTAGAAAAAGCTGGATCTGATATGTCAGCCACTAAGCCTGTGATTGTGTGTTCAATGCATACCAAATCAAACTTGACCTGATGTGGTTTGTATATCTGTCAGCAGCTGGCTTTGGTTCATCCTCAGTCTGGGAATGGTAATCCTGGCCTTTCTGTGAGTCCTGCTGTCTGCCATCCAGCACTGATGTTGTCTTAAGAAAGATTTGAATACTATCACTCTGAGAGTTTAGCTGGGAACACTGGTTTTCATCTGGTTAGATATCTGTATTTCTCCTTGTGTCCAATTGCACCAAAATATCTCATTCACTCATCAGTGACTTTGTGACTACTTGCTTGTTGTACAACACAGCTAATATTATAGCCTTTTTTTATTTTTATTTTTGGCTTGTTTGGTCCGCTCCATTCATTCAGAGGTCAGCACTGTCATGCTAAGCTATCATAGCGTACATTTCTAACATGAAAGTTGAACTGTTCATACGTGCGTAGGATGGATTTATTTAACTTCTGGAGGGTTGCTGATTTCAGTCAGATAAATTAAAGACCCTCTGTCGTAAAAATCAAGTGTTTTTCCTTGTTAATTTGTCTCCATATGGTATTTTTTGTATTTTAAAAACACGTCATTTATTTTCATGGAAGAAACTTCTAAATATGTAATTTTAATACACAGATGCATTTTTAGGGGCCTTATCAATGACTGGAGGGGGACTGCAATTGATTATGCAGAGCCAGCTGCCCCTCTGTTGATTGTTTTGATATGTGGTCAGTATAAAGGAAGCCACTGTCGCTAAGTGTGGCTTTAGATTTAGGCTGATGTTGTCTTCTTTGTCCTTCTTGCAAATCCCTCCCCTATTTGCTGCTTAATCTTTCCACAGAATATGTTTTTTTATCCTTTTTGTGGTCACTCCTGGAAACCAAATCACAAACGCCTAATACATCCTAAGTCTTGTAGAATTTATTCTGAAGGTATAAAGCAGGGATGGAAATCGCCAGAAGCTTAAGGCTAAGTTTAGCAGCACTCATTACAACCTGTTACCCATCACACACGCTTATCCTCTAAACCCGCAATCATGTAGAATGGAGTATTATTATTCTTTCAGTCAGTCGTGTGTTAAACTGTTTTCCATTTGGAACAAAAAAGAAATCCTCCCTTTCATTTGGCCGGCTCATGGCCTGT